ATATTGAAATACAGCATGTAACTGCTGGTTTCTTGACTGATGATGATGAAAAAACAAAATTAATGGACAGGACATTATTGATGGACTTGACAATATGTTACTGATTACTAGGACTACACTGTCGGACAGGACTCACCTTCTTCCCCTAACACTATTAGTAGTACAGGACATATTTTTAATGATCCCATAGACAATACATGCATCTGTTTTCTACCACATAGTTCGTGTAAATCTGTATCAGTGGACAGTTAGTATTAAACAACAGCAGTAATCTTCTTCTCTATGTAAGGCCAGAAAAAAAAAATTCTCTGTTTCTCGTTTCATAGAAATTTTAAAATGAGGCGGCGAGGCGATTTTTTTTTTTTTTGAATACTGAGCTAAAATCGGGGAAATTTGAGACAAGTGCATGTACAAGCGCATTTTGGAATGCTTTAGAAGTTAAAAAAAAACGTCCGAGGTGCATAGTTCAAAATGATGCGTGCGGAAACGAGAAACAGATATATTTTTTTTCTCAGCCTAATTACTCCAAATTCCAATGAGTTTAGTTAAATTTTACACAAAACTTTATTTCTTAACTTTTGTGTATATAGACAAACAGTGGCCCATATCACAAACTTGGTCAGGAAACATGGAACTGACTGCTGGTGGACACTGCCAATAGAACAGTTACTGCCAACTAGTTTGCTTTCGGAGGTAAGCATTCATTTCTGTGTATGTTTGCATGTAGATATGAACAATACATTATATTTCATGACAGTGCATTACTATTGACATTTCAAGTGTCAGATTGCATCCTGGAACATTTGCCCTGTATTCTGTGTGGGTTTGGGTAAACCCTTTTGATTTATTCAATAGTTTTTTAATATTTACATTAAACAGACATGCTTCTTTTCCAGCCCAAAATGGATAATCTTTGAATATTTATCAGCACTTAGATTCCCATATACGTTGTTTAAAATTAAAATGCAGTAGCAGGAGTGATATTCAAAAAATTAGCATATCGAAACATTTCCGAAGCATATGATGATTCAGTCATATCTTGGACATGTCTGGGCTGATCACATTCAAACTTTGCAAATATATCATATGTCTTGGACCACATATGCTTGTCTATTTGTTTCATGATGAAATTCGAGATGGCCAAATGACGGCCGTTGTTGTACTAAAAATTCAACAATTCTGTCACAGAACTGGATCTTGGTTGTGTGTGGATGAATTTCGTTCAAGTTTAGTAGACATTATGGGCATTGATGCACGTTATTTTGATTGTTTTAATGAATGCTGCTCTAGGGCCATATATTTGACAAGCATTGACCAATCTTTTTCAAACTTTATATAAATGTCATACATCTTGTCTCACATATTTACATATTATTGTTTGATGGTTTTTTTATTTTAATGTTGACAATTTTTTTAAATGAAGCATTTTGCCATTCCAGAACAGGATGTAGATGTAGGTCATGTATAGACAGATTTTGTCCAAAGATTGGATTGCTTCATTTGCTTTTCAAATTGGATTCAAAATGGCTGACTGGTGACCGTTTTGTTTTAATGAATGCTGTTTTGATGCAATTTATCTGACATGCCTTGACCCATCAAACATACATTTGACATTATGGGGACTTGACGCACATCATCTCTGACAACATTGATCACAATTAAACTTCACAACTACATTTTTCATCATGCTATTGAACTAACTGGGGATCTGTCATGCCATGTCAATTTATTTTGAATTTGGTTTCACAACATAATTAACTCTAAACTGGTGCAATGATCTTTTTTGAAGTTGACCTTGTTGAAAATAAAATGTTGGTTGAAGGGTAAATACTCGACATTTATCCTCCTTTCACTTCTGTAGTTTTGTTAAATAGAAAAAAGTGACTATATATCATCGTTATATGTAGTATGCTCTATTCGTTGTGCATGACTTTCAGATATTTTTACTTTCAGTGTGGTGTAAATCCTAGCAGGCAATTCTATCGTGGTGAAGATATTCTGGATATCTGGTTTGATAGCGGGTCGTCATGGTCTCATGTATTAAAAGGTACTATTTTTGTTATCGGTGTATTACACTGTAAAGTTTTTTTGAGGTAAAACTATTCATAAATGTTTTTTGATCATTTCAACTAGTTGATCATTTCAATTAATTACCATATCATTTGCTATGTACAACATGTATGTATTAATCATTTTACAGATACTGGAGGAATAGCTGATGTCTACTGGGAAGGAGAAGATCAATATGGTGCTTGGTTTCAGACATCATTGTTAACAAGTGTTGCAATCAATAATAGAGCTCCATACAGGT